AAAGGGAGAGGAGAGTAGTTTGTGTTTCTATTTTCCATCTCATTCCCATTATTTTGAAAATATATTTTTCCCTATTTTCTTTTTAACCACATTTTTTTCAATAAAATAATATTACATGTAAATTAAAAACTTTTTTCTTATTTTTCAATAACACATTTTCTATCAATCTACTATTTCAAAATACATTTTAAAGAAAAATGGGGCTTGACAAATTCTAAAATGGTACGATCACAATATTGTTCTGCATTACATTGAAGAAAAGAGGAAAGTATGTGTCATAGGTAATAATTTTTTTACTTTAATTCTAGTAAACATTCAAAATGTGATTTTGATTTTGTTGCTACTACTATTTTTACACAACTCAGATAAGATAATGTAGAATGTCACCTAAAGATCTCCATAATTTTTGCGGTGCGAAATACGTTAAAAGCATTTAACGATAGACTTTTGTTATGTTAATTAAATAAAAATTTAAATTGTTTAACGTAGGAGAAAATTTTCCAACTTCCTACTTCGATCCACTTTTTTTATTTGTAACCTTCGTCATGGCTGATAGCCCCCAAGTCAGTGGGTAAAAACTCGAACACAATATCATCGTCTTCACTTCAGAAGTACTTGCGGTCGTTGATGGTGGTGAAGTTGGCAATGGTGGTAGTCGCGATGGGGTGAGAGTAGAAAATTTTGCCCTTTAAAATTCAAGATTACATATTTGTGAAATATTTTTATAATAAGTCACTATTTGGTAGAAATTAAAATAAGATTTTTAATGAATTTTAATAAAAGTTAATAAAATGTGGGGTCAAAATTGTAAATTTCATGAAATGTAAGGTTAAAATTAATTGTTGTCTTTAATTTAGGCCCATGTCTGTCAACAATTTCTACAAGATTAAAAGCAATTTTCTCACCGTTGCTAAAGTGTAGGTGGGTTCCAGTGTGAGAATTTACAGAGATGGAAGTCAACAAAGATTACAGTAGTGGGCCCATTTTGCATTGGCCACGATCAAATAACTAATTAAAATTTGGATGAAAATTTCTCCCAAACAGGCTCTTAGATTACAAAACGTGGGCTAAAAGATTTTTTTTCTTTAAATGGGCCTAGTACAGTGATGGGTATAATCTAGGTGTTAATGGACCCAAGTGCCCCAGCCCCACTAGCTTAGGATCCATGGGCTTTTGTCCAAATTCGACGCTCAAGTAGTAGAAAATAGATAGTCAATTAGCAGCAACAGAATTGAAACTGTCGATAGCATTTGTCACTCGAGATCTTCTGATAAGCGCCTCTCCTTGGAAATCAACAGCGTAGCGGCGAGAGAGAGGCAAAAATATTCTTGACCATTTCTTTTGCTTTCTCAGACGTCAGTTAAAGGTAAATATACGAGTCAAAACCAATTTGTTTCTTACTGTTCTTTTCAATTCTGGATTTCTTCGTACACTGTTATTCATACTCTTTCTTTTGTGGGTTTTGGACTAATTTCTCGGATCTATTTGTTGACTGGCGGGTTTTGGTCTGTGAATTGATTTCAACACTTTACACTTATATTTAGTGATGATCTGTAAGGGGGAAACTGAAACCGCTTAATCTGAGAATTTTTTTTATTTGTTTTTGTTTTTGTTTTGGATTCGGTAAGGAAAAGGAGGACAGAGAAGAAAAGAGCAATATAATATTTCCATTATTTTTTAAACAAGCTCAACTGAGGCTGGGAATTGGAAGACTCATTGTTTCCACTAAGATACTTTTTAAGGGAAATGCCTCCCTTTTTGTCAAAGATATTCTTCTAGTCCTATGATATTTCCTTTTCTTTCCAATAAAGAAAATGTACTGTTTAATTATTGAAATAGGTCCATGATATGAAAGTTGGACCTATTAAAATGGTTTGTTAGATGAGTTGATACTGGAAATTGGAAGTAAAGTTGATTTTATGGTGGTTCTCTTTTAGTTTGCTGACCAAAAGGATGGTTATGTGTTGGGATTGATTAGTGCTTCATATGAAATGGTTTTGCGGCCCAAAATATAAAACAATTAAAAAAATTATCCAGATGATCAAGAGATATGAATAGTAACTGACCAACTGGAGAATATAGTTTGTAAGATTGGAATATTTTCAGTTTTTTAGGATTATGATTTCACAAAAAAAAAATATTAGGCTATAATAATTAGTGAGTAGGAATAAGAGTTGCTCTAAAAAGATCAGGCGCAATGTGGTGAATATTGGAGGAGAAGAGTAGGGAGAAAATAAGAGAAGAGAGAGCTTCATCCTTGCAAGGGTTAGTTGAATTCGACAAGGCAATTTACACCATATGCTATTGATCGTGCAGAACTCTACTACTTAGATACATGGGATAACAACAAAGTATTTATAACTAGTAAACAATGTAATTCTTGACATTTCAATCTAGATTAAAGACGCATAAAATTGAACTTTACTTTACGGAATTATCCACAAATCCTGCTGTGTAATTCAACACTTTTACCCTTGATTGCCCATGTGTTTGGCATCACTTTTTCTTAGAAACAATTTTATTCATCCGATTTAATGAAATAATGTACATTTTCACGGTCATGTTAGAATATGAATCCGTTTCTATTATTACCTTTTTGTTTGATTCATAGACATTACTTCAGATTTAATGGCATCAAAGTTGCAGCAATTGCAAGCAAAGGCCTGCCATGCCTCACAGTTTGTGGCCAAGCATGGAACGTCCTACTATAAACAGTTGTTGGAGCAGAACAAGCAATATATTCAAGAGCCACCTACTGTGGAGAAATGTAATGAATTGGCCAAGCAGCTGTTCTACACTCGTCTTGCCAGGTTAATTTATTTTAACTCATGCTCGTACACCATTCAGAATTGAGACGTATTCCCGGATGGCATATCTTTCATTTACTTGGACTTTGAACTCCTTTATTTATTCAGTTATTTCATGTCATTCCTCTACCTTGTTTACTGGATAAGTATGGGAAATTTTATGCCCTTAAAAAATCAACAGTTTCTTATGCCTTGAGTCCACTTCATGTGAGGCTTTCATTAACGTTCTCAAAGCTTACGCTTTAAGTGCCATTTGTGAAGTTTATGCCTTGATTAACTGAGGCTTATGCCTTGGTCTTGTGTGCTCTTAATTAAAGTATATTCCAAGTGTGTTCTTAAATATTGGATTCAAGTTATGTGCCCCCTTCTGGTATGTTTTTTCATAAGGATGGGCTACGTGCCTAATCCTTTACCTATTTGGTGGATTTTAATTATAAACATAACAGCATGCTAGGAAGAGATTGCCTGCAAAAGTCAAATGTGCTATTTGTCAGGTCCATTGCAAGATGTCAATTACATTTGCCCAATGTTTAAAAAGGTGGAAATAGGTACTGAGGTGTTTTTCCTTTTGTGAGGCGAGTGGGATACGCCTCACCACAAACTAATTTTTTTGTTAAATGAGTTGCATCTCCATGTTCTACTAGTTTGGGTTAGTTTCTTCAGTCTGTTTAGTAGTTCTCATTACGTGTACTTTGCAGCATTCCCGGCCGTTCAGAGTCATTTCGGAAGGAACTTGACTATGTCAAGAACATGTGGAAGCACAGGCAGGAGCTGAAGGTTGAGGATGCTGGCATTGCTGCTCTATTCGGCCTTGAGTGTTTTGCATGGTTTTGTGCTGGTGAAATCGTTGGTAGAGGATTTACATTCACTGGTTACTATCCCTGAAAACTGCCAGCCGGGTAAACTGTTTGGGCCAGTCGATGTTCATTATCATCACTGCGGTTATTTGAGTTGACATTCTTTGTGCGAGATTTTGTTTTCCTACAATGTTTTCAAAGCTGAGAAATCAGTTGTGTTAAATTCGATCGTCATAATAATTAACATATTCGACATCAAAATCCCTTCTTTAGTGAAGTGAATTCAGTACATGAACTTGATAATGGAATTGTAATTCCTGTGGAAGACCTGTGATGAATGTAGCTCTGAGAAAAGTTTTGGTGGTTGTTCCCTGCTTAACCTTAAATTTTATGTTATTCCAATAAAAATGTCATTACAGCCTCGGCAATGTTGGTCATTGGAGTTCAACTTTGACAAATATTTTTTTTATTTTATAACTTATATACTTGTGTAAGTAAACTTACTTGTACCTTTTAAGCTTAGCCAAACATGCTAATCTTGAACGAGCTCGTTTGGTTTATGGGATCTTGATGTTTACATTTTTCTAGCTTATTGACATCTGAAACCGAGTTTCCAGGGTATTATCCTCTTCTACTAGCGTATTGGGCATGGGATTGGATAGCATTAGACTATGTTTGACAATCATTATTTTAAAACTTTTTTCTACGTACTCATTTTCAATTATAAATTCACACAATAAAGTATTTTGTACGTAAATTCAAAAATTTTCTTTATTTTGTATCCATATATTCTCCTGAATAACACCGTTACACCGTTCAAAAATATGTTTTTCACAACTAATTGTTGTCAAACAGGGCTTAGTATGAAGAATTTAAAATTTTATTTATTATATTGTTCATTTTAATACTCCAAAATTATCTCTAGAATATTTGAAATTAAAAGAAACGTTTCTATGCATGTCAAATACATCGTGGAAGGTTTATGTAATTTTTTGAATAGATTTTTCTGTTTTATTAAATATTATTAATAAATTAAAGAAGGGGAATAATTCAAAACTAAGGGATTAACTATTTACAATTCAAAAATCAGGTTTTATATTTGAAAGTGCAAAAATTAGGTTTTAGTTAATTAATTAAAAATATTTATTAATTAAATATAATAAGACTACAATTATGTAATTAATAATCACATATACATAATTAGAGGTCACATGTCACATTTTTTAAAATTAATTGGTCATAAATTATTTCGAGGTCACAAACCAAAAATTTTATAGGTCACGGATTATTTCGAAATCACATATTTTTAATTAGTCGGTCACAGATTATTTTTGAATAACATATTAGTAAATTTTTAGGTTACAGTTAATTAATAGTCACATATTATCCTAACCTAACCAACCCAACTCGACTATATTTGTAAACTTTACAAGTGTTATGATATTACTTGGACGAAATTGAGTCACTTTGTTTCTTCACACAAGTTCCAAGAGCTACAATATTCAGAAAAATCTAGATTAAAATGTCAATTTTTGTTAGGAAAATTTTGTGCAATAGTTGAAAAGTTTGAGGAAACCATACACAAATTATATACTACTAATTAACTAAGTTTTATATATGCAAATGCGATACACGAGAAGTCTTGAATATGACACAAGACATGGAAACTCTTAGAATAATATTATAAGATTTGGATAGAATGCATTTTATGAAGAATAGTATAAGTAAATACACATTCA